ATTATCAATGGTACTGTAATTTTAGTTTATCAACTTACTAGTCATCTGCCGTCAATCCAAGAGTGATGAAGAGGAACACCAACCATAAAAACTAACAAAAGTGGTCGGAAACATAATTACNTTACACTGTCTAGATTGCCGTTACCTATGATCAGGAAGAGCTTAGAGAGCGCTGTTTGGATTTCATTGAAGAAAACACAGAGAGTGTCTTCAGAACTAAAGGATTTCATGAACTGTCTGAGGAAGCCTTGTCTTTACTGCTGCAAAGTGACAAGCTGATGATGGATGAGCTGGAAATTCTTGTTGCTGTGAGGGAATGGGCCACAGTTAATTCTGTAAGATTTGGTTTATTGGTTGATTTGTACAATGTATTGGGTCATTCTGTTATTTTTCAGTGATGCTGTGACTTAATGGTGAGAACACTGGAATATGGCCATTGTGTTGTGTTTTTGTGCTAAATTCTTTATTCCTGAATGCATTGCCTCTCTATACCAAGGAGTATTTATTTACTAGTGTTATACACATTCAACTAGTACAGCAACCCATTAAGTTTTGAGGATTGTCCCTGAAGGACAAGCATTGGATGCTGCCGGTGGAGGGTGGGGGGTGTAGTTGTTTGTTGCTACAGAATCCCGAGTCACCTCAACGAATTGTAGTGGTTTTGCACCCAATCAAGCTTGTAGCATCTGAGATGGCACCCATATTTTCCAGTTTGCACCCAGTCCCACCACCGTTACTACATGATTTGCCCAATCGAAATAGTGTATTAGTCTATGACCTAATCAATGTTATAAAACCTTAATAAATTAGACATTTGTTTCCTGTTTAAGGTGGTTCTTAGTAAGTCGCTTGCTGAAGTGGCACAGAATGTCATCAAACATGTCAGACTTGCACTGTTAACACCCGAGGAGCTTAAACAAGTAGAGCTTGACAATGACAAGGACAAAATGATTCCAGTAAGTTGAAATATATTAAACCTTACAGTGCCAATGCTTTCGGCTCAATCAATTGGACATGTATGTCAATTCCAAGCCCTTTCATCCTCCTCCCCACCCCCCCTCCCCTGCGTTTGTCAGACGTTTGGGCATGACTTCAAAAAGTCCAAACTTCTTGATGGAAACCTAAATATAATGGTCTATAATATTTGCGCACTGAAGCAATAAAAGGTTGGGATGTTAAGTTGTAAATGTCTGCCAAATGTTTTTAGGCTCTATCGTCGTGGAAAAACGGGTCAAACTTGAGAAAAAAAAAACTTTTCCTTCAACGATTCACCTGTAACTGTATTCTTTGTCCAGTGGTCCAGGAATCTTTTGGTACAGTAAGGGGCCAAGATAGTTAATCAAAAATTTTGGCACTATTTTGTTCAAGGATGCAGCAAAATGAACAAAATTGCCGTGTTAATGCCCTGTTAATGAAGCATGCTATTTCCTCAATGCAAGACAAGACAAGACAAGACAAGACAGGTCGCTTGTCCTAAATTCAGTTTTGCATTCGCTTGTAATCTCAAATTGGCTAAGCTGTAAACAAGCCTTTCTTTTTTTTTTCGCTGATTACGCAAATTTGTACAGTAACCTTAGGTGAGAAGTATTGTAGACAGCACTACAGACTTTATTCATGGTATGAAATTCGCGAAATCAAATAACCCGTGTGACACATGGAGGCCTTGGTCATTTCCATTGTGTCTCTGGTGTCATGTGGAAGAGCTGGTCCATGGATTCTGTTTTATATTTGAGTGCGTGAACGCGATCACGAGAGTGCGGGAGCTTGTATCCGCGCTTGTGCGCGCGAGGGATAGCGAGTGATTCACGTAGTGTGCTTGCGTGCACTAGGCTATCCCACCCAAATTCATTGTCGGTTTTCCTTTCAGATCAAACAGATATCTGAGGCGTGGAAATATCACGCGTTGAGAAAGTCACCGAAACACAGCGCCTCAGTGCCCAGGCCACGACCGCGACGGGGAACGAAACCGCGGGAAATGTACACAGAAGTCAGTTAACAGAATGCCACTATTTGGTGAATGACTTTTGAAGGCAAGAAAATGGAGCAGAAAACAAGTTAGGAATTTTGTTGTATGCTGGTTCATAGTATTGCATATTATATACTGCATAATAGATGTGATTTAAACCGTCACTCAAAAATCGATTGATTTGTTACTGGCAGTTTAGACTATGTTTGGACAGTAATGGAACTACGCCGGAGAAATTTGAAAACAGCGTTTTCACTCTGAAAACGAATGGAATGTTTTCCGTCCACACTACGCCAGGGGAATTTTATAACGCAACAATCACCGGCGGCGGAAACCATATAAGTGTTTCCTTGTGGGGTAGAGTTAATCACATGACTATCGTGACGTCATCGTTTTCCAAAAAACCTTGTGTGGACAATTTCTCTGGATTATTACGGACGGTAGGCCTATCCGTAGAACTAAAGCTGCGTTTTCAAATTTCTTCTTTGTAGAGCAGATGGAACGTAAGCTTGATACCTGTAAATAGACAATGCGCGCCTTTCGTTATAAAACAAACACAACTGTAATGTTTCTCTTCAACAAGGAATTGTTTTTTTCTTACTTACTAAGATTAAATGATCGTAATTGGACTCCGTGTCATCCAATTCTATATGTAAACTTACTCGCGGTTTAACATTCCGGACTCCAGCACGCAAAGGCCCGTGATCTAATCGCTCGTGTTATTACAGACGGAACTGGACTTCGTTCTTCCTTGTGCTATATTTATACATGTTTATAGAATGCTATAGAATGCTTTTAGCACTGACGAATTGCACTTTCCCAGTTAAACGTGTTTAATTCATCTTTAAAAACAAAAGTCAGTGATGCTCTTCTCAGTCTTGATTTCATTCTCTAATAGAAATTATTGAACCATGTTAAGCCGCAATGTAAACGGCGAATTTTAGCTACACTTTAGTTACATTGCAACTCGGAAAGTTCATTATATGAAAGCATCATCTTAGTTGATTTGTTCAGTCTCATTTAATAACTCATAATCAAAAATTTATTTTTGTATATGCTTAATAGTTCCTTTCTAGCCGGCATTTATAAATCCCTTGAATTTGATATTGGAGTTTAGACTTAAGACTGAATATTTAAATAGTTTGAAACGAAACGTAATATCATTTAAATATTGCGCTTCCTAAAGCCACTGACACCGATGCTGGCAATTATTATTATTTTTTTAATTTCTTTATTATTAATAAACTATCATTATGTATAAGCTATTCTTGTCTTCATTTGTCTATTCAGTAATAATCATAACTTTAAATGCCGTCGACTTTAAACGCTGAAATTTGAGTAAGAACTAGACTTCTCAAATAGGATGAACATATCTCAAATTGTCAGTAAATTGAGACGAGCAATATTACACCTACGTTGTGTTTTGCCTCTTTTTGCGCCAGTCTGCTAAAAGGTCGGCCTCCTAAAATTCAATAAACTTATTGACCAACGGCAAAAGTTTTTATTTTCGTTTATTATCTAAACACAATTTAGCATATAGAGTGCCCGTAGGGTTTTATATGGTAGTATGTTTAGCCCAATAAACTGTTTTGAAATATATTGTATGCACAAGGCAAGGTCTAATATTTTTTGTTTACCGAATGACTACAGAGGGACTCCAGTAGATATTGAAGGCTTATTTTCATGCAGTTTTAGAAACAGCCAAAATAAAGTATTAGTATTATTATTAAAAGACTCATGCTTCCTGTTATTAGACCGGAATATTGTCGTCATTAATTCGCTTATTTTTCCGATAGCAAAAATCTTCGCGACATAATGCAAATTTTTTGTAATTATGCGAGCACAATACAAACGTTGACCTGGGCTGTTCTCAGTGGTTATGTACACACGTGAGGTGTGAAGTTTAACCCGCTGGGGGTTTTAAGTGGAAATAAGCTTTTAACAAAAGGATATTGAAAGTTCTTGAGATCCATTGAAGCTAACACGTTGCCCCAACGAAACCCGTAAATGCTTAGTGACGGAGGAGTAGGGGTTTTGCTCTGTGAACACGAAATGTGGTTTCCGTACATTTGATTGATCCCGTCAACCAACCTGACCTTTAGGTGAAGTTTTATATTGCTGGTTTAATTGTCGAAATGTGGGAGGCGAAAACATTGACGCAACAGAATGGAAATTTACGTACTACAAACTTGACAACAGTGTCAAACGAATTGAGCGAAATCAAATTTAGCTTCGAAGAGAAGCCTTCGGGGACGAAATCAACTGCTACCTGCGAAATGTCAGAAACAACGCAAAACACAGTACATAGAGTTTTAACTTCTGATATTATTGCAAGAATACAGGCGGTGGACAATGAGGACGATATCGCCACTTGTCAAACGGACATAACAAAAAGAAAAATTCCGCATCGAGCGAATTACAAGCTTGGAGCGAATTATACTGGCGACTTTTCGAGACACGCAGCTGAGGTGAAATATGGCGACCACTTGGACGATTCAGGGATGTGTATTATCCGTAATGTGGTGATTGTTAAAAATAGCGCGTCGCCGCTGGGATTTTTTATTCGACAAGGAGATGGATCATTTATCAAGCAGGGAATATTTGTTTCGCGTGTTACGCAAGGGAGCATTGTCGACGCAAACGGTTTGCTCAAAGTTGGAGATGAAATCATTGCAGTTAATTACGTCGACATCGACGGATTCAGCCTGGATGATGTAGTGCGAATGATTCAGGCTCCGCGAAAATTGATTTTAACGATTCGAATAAATGCTTTCTTAATCAAAAGCAGTTCTTCCGTTGGCGATGCTTTCAGTTCTCTAACAACTAATGGAGAGAAGGCTACCTCGAAGGCTTTAAAAATCAAAAGCAAGCAGTCTCGGGCAAATGATTATAAAGAGCCAAGCAACAAAGGTAAACAAACTGAGCAAACACAAACGGAAAATTTGAAAGTGGACAAAAATGCAAATGAGCATCGGGACATCTTAAAATCGTCAAATCATTCGGAAAATTCGGCGACCATTGAAGATCTTATCAACGCTATTCGTGCGCAAAATAATCGATCGAAGAAAAGCAAGAGACATTTTGAGCACGGTGAAAACAACAGCGAGCCATCTCCCGAAGACTCTGGCCACTCGAACGGCTCTCTGCACAAACAGCGAGACTTGAATAAAGCCGAGAATCCGCAGATTAGAAAACCATCCAATGATGGCATCATTTTGTCAACCAGAACTCCTCAAATTGCCAGTCGAAAGTCAAGTACTTTAACACCAATAACGTCTGTGAATTTGATTTTCGATGACCCTGATGATTTTACTGTTCCAGCTCCTCCTACCAAACATACTATTTCAAACGAACAATCCCTAAAAGTTTATTCTTCGGGAATAAGTTCACGAAGCCCTCCGGGTTCTCCCGGGGGTAGTCCGAAGGCAAGGCGAAGACTTCCGTCCGTGCCTGGCGACACCACACGCGCAAGTCGCTCTAACAGCGATGCCCGTAGCGAGAACGGTTCGCAACCGGCTACCAAACCCTTGCTTTCCCTACCAGCGGAGCCAAGGAGCCGTAGGATGCTCCCTACACCCCCACCATCCCCCGTTGCCTCACATAAAGCGGAATTATCAAACAGTCGAGAAACAAGCTCGACCACAGGTGAAAACTCTGAGAGTGGAAAATCAAACCGGAACAGTTGGACTGGATCGGCAGACAGTGAAACGATGGAGGAAAAATCACCAGCGCCATCTCCCTCAAGGAAGGAATCAGGGTTGTCTTTGAGCCAAATCTTCGGCGCATTTGCGTTGAGAACTCATTCAGATGCTACAGATGAACCAGAAAAGAGTAAGAATGGAGGCAAAACTGAGTCTTCCGCACCCCAAAGGCCTATGCGAAAGAGCGAATCTCATCGAGACGATATCTTGGCGCAACAGAGGCAGTCTCTGCTGTTACATTCGTACGTCTCTGGTGGACTGCAGCCTCCTAGCGGACCTAAAAGACTCACGAGTCGTTCATCACAACCTAATTTGAAACTTTCGCCAGTTCAGGAAGAACCTTCCAAATCAAAGCTCTCTCCTGGCTCGCCTGAGAACTCCAAATTCTCTCCAAAGCTCACCAGAAGGCGCGCCAGCCTTGCGTCAATAACTGACAAGAGTTTAACCAATCAGCTTCCCGCGCAAGACTTGAGTGACGCCGACCGACTTAGAAGTGAGGCAGAAACTGGGTTTTTGATATTCCCAGATGATTATACTGGGCATAATCTGCTATCGTCGCACGCAGTCTCCGGTATGGTCTCTTTGCACATTATCAAGGCTACTCACTTACCTTTCGCTGATAAGAAGCTTTTGGAGAAGAAAAAGAAAGTCTACTTTGCGGTAGAGGTGGACTTTGAGCGAAAAGCTTTCACAACTACCAAGAGGGCGTCAAAAGCCCTAACCTGGGACGAAGTATTTGAAGTAGAAGTCCAACATGGCCGAGAAGTGTGCCTCTCTTGTTTTATTGCAAGCCACGATTTTGACAAACCCGTGACAAAAGCCTCTTTCAATCTGTCTCCTTTTGTGCGATGCGGTCAACAACACAATGTCGTGTTTCGTATGCATCCACAAGGAGCGATTCATCTCAAAATGGAATTCATTGAGATGAAGACCTTGCTTAAACGGGCCCCGTCTGATCGAATATCCGGCGTGTTTGGATTTCAACTCAATGTGACCTCGCGAAATGACAACGCAAGTGTCCCGCTGATCGTCCGGAAGTGCGTGGACGAGATTGAGAAGCGTGGCCTACTGGCTGTGGGTCTGTACAGAATTTCCGGAAACGCTCGACGGAAGAGGCAACTTAAGGCGCAATTCGACGAAGACAGCACCACGGTGGATTTGTCAGAAGACAGCTACCCAGATATAAATGTCATCGCTGGCATTTTGAAAGATTATCTCCGAGAACTTCCCGAGCCCTTGATAACGGAATCCTTGTCGAAGCTACTGATTAACGCAGCTAAGGAACAAGTCCAAGATCAGGATCTGGCCTCACAGAAACGTGTTCTCTCCAAACTGCTGGTTCAGTTACCTCAGAACAACAGAGAGACCCTTGTGTATCTGCTGAACCATTTCTTGCGGGTCATTGCAGAGAAGGAGACGAACAAAATGGACGCGCGCAACCTGTCAGTGTGTTTTGGACCCGTGCTTTTATGTCCCCCGGCGAACCTTACCGAGGGCAAAGACTTGCTGGACCTGAAACTTCATATTAAAATTGTCGAGTTTCTGATTTATCTGTGGAGGAACACCAATGTAACTCCCGGATAGCTCTAAATTTTGTTTAACTTCTAATATTTTTCCGTAAAACCTTTATCTGTTAAGACATATATCAGCACTAACCGTAAACATTTGTCAGTCTTTTGTCTTAATTAAACTTCAAATCGACAGTTTTCAGGGAGAGAGATTTTATCATCTTATCCCAAGGGCTTTTTGATTGACTACGGTCCCAGCGGAGGCATACGTACACGCGAGCGCGGCGTGTGCGAGGGTGATAAATTAAGAGCGTGACTCGCGAGTCAAAATGGCTGGAAAACGATCACTCGGTAAGCCTCGCTCGTGATTTTTACACTTGTGTCCTCGCGCATTCCTTTAATACGACTCAGCCAAACTTTTGTAAAACAAAAAAAAGGATAATAAAACACGCGCTTCTCAAATTGCCAACTTTTTTTTCGGGGGAGGGGGCGGGGGGGGGGGGGGCGGCGGCTATCAGAACAGACTCTTACGAGTATATGCATTAGGTCTACTTTCGAGTTAGAACAGATTCATGAATTGAAGAAATTTCCGAACTGGACAATACCAAGTACGTGATCATATTTCGTGATAAATATATTGGCATGGGACCTTGCGCTGCTCGATCTGGAAAATGATTGGATGCTTTCATAAATGGATATTACACAAGCAATTCAAAAACCAAACCTTACTCGGCAGTCGGACGCTCTTTGGGCTCGTCACGCAATCTCTATTTCGTGACGAGCCCAAAAAACGTCTACTCTGTCCTGTCGGGTTAATTCTCCGGGTCATTTTCGGAGGATCTTCAGTTTGCACGATGACGTGTGGAGGTTTGAACAAATCCTTGGAAATCATTACCCAAAAATCGTTGTCCGTAACTATTTACTTTCGCCGACACTTTCGCCGCTTTTCTGTTTGTGCGTTGCTAGGAAACTGATTAAAGAGCGTACGTCATTTCGGTTCCCTTTTTTCGAAACCTTTTGTCCAAACAGGATCGTCGTTTCTAATTCCTTACCTATTTCTCGAACCAATTTTTTTCGGGTTTAAAATTATCTTTCTCAATTTATCTGGACTGCGTTGACGTTCATTTTTATCCGTACTTTGCCGTTAACACACTTTTTGCGGATTGGAGAACAAAATTTCTTTCTGAGCTGTGTTTGAAGAAGGTGAGTACAGGAAAATATGCTCATTTTATGTAACTGATCAATAGTGAGATAATAACCTAAACGCCATCTTGGGGTAAAATAAACAGAGTTAAAAGAACTGCAGCATTTAAGCGATCAACAGTTGGCTTTTCTCTTTGACTTTATTTCGCTGATGTTTACGCTTGCTTTTGTCCGATCGAAAAATAGTTACACCTTGGAATTTAAATGTGCAGAAATCTCGTAATAGTTACAAAAATGAACTATACGCCCGTTGAGAAATAGATATGCATGTTATTAAACGAGCGTGAGGCCCGTATTGGAGAAATATTGGTCGAGTTCTCCTTGCGTTTGCAGGTTTATGGGCCGCGAGTGGCAGGCTAGGTCCAAAAACTTGCGAAATATCCGGTCCATTTCGAACCGGACAAGTTGGTTCAATTAAGTATTTAATTTAACTTTCTGGCTTACTCCGAGATCTATTCTTACGTTTGTTTCCTAATGCAAATGAATGAAATCACTAGGACACTGACTCTGTTGTTTCTTTTGCTTCGTCTAAATGCCGATGCCACAATAATACTGGAGGATTTTACACTGCTACTCTGGGCTGAGCTTCTTCAGGTGCCGTAAACTACGCAAAGATAGATGTAAAGCCCAAAATGTTTCTGTTAGTTTTTTTCTAAACTGTTCTTGTTATTTTGTTGATGACTGACTGGCTATGAAGATAAAATAACTCAATAAAACTAATACAGACAAATTTGGTCAATCATTTTATCAGTGTAACTTGTAAGAAGACAAAAATGATTTCCGATCCAATCAGTCAATCCCAATCAATACCAATCGATCAATTAATCGTTATCGATAACTATTGACAATCGATAACAATCGAACTCACAACTTTTTTTCGTCATCGATTTTCATCGATTGCTATCGGCCAACGATATCAATCTTCGATTGTTATCGATTGTCATCGATTGATATCGATATTTGTTTATTGATTGACTACGCCTGTGATCAAGTTACAAACGGAAACATACGCATAGGTTATGTAAATCAACCGGCTTTCTTGTAAACCAGGAAATGTTAGACTTCCACTATCAAAACAGCAAGGAACTAGAACACTACAGAATGGAATACGAAGATGCTGCTTATAGAGTTTATAATAATAAATAATAGTAACTTTATTAATGTGTCGAGATTGTTTAGCCGAGGGATAACCCTCTACTAATTATAGTTTATGGAACTATCTCCAGCGGTGTTGCCCCCACATGTTTCGCGCAAGAATGGAAGAAATACGGAAATAGCCGAGGTCTATGCCCGGGCGGGGGAACTCCCAAATTCAAAGGACGGGGGTGCCCGTCAGAAATATTGAAAAGAATCCCTAAGAGGTACCAAGATCCTGTTTTGTGGGCGTGGCTTGAATTTAGACTAAAATAAAAATTAAAACGTCCCAAATCACGCGTACGCTTACCATATTCGTAGAGCATGGTATAATGGCTCATAACCCATGATGGCCAAGCCAATGAAAACTCTCGAATTGAATTATCCCATGATCCAGTTTTTAATAATTTCACTCACAACTTTGAAACACGCTTCTCAAACTCATTAATAATTTATCAATAGTAAACAAAGGAAATCATGACCGTGACGATGTTTGGATATCTGATCTTACTTAGGATAGTCAGGATAGATTTTTAAAATTTTATTTCTCCATGTTCTCCTTAGTTCGAGTTTCGATTGAGAAGATCTATCAAACAAGAAAGGACGTGTTTTACCACATTAATACCAGACACCTCGAAGTTCGTCAAAAATACTCCGCTGCGCGTCGTATTTTCAACTCTTTTCTCGGCGTTTGGAAATGTGGTCAAACACGGTCTTTCTTGTTTGATATATTACTAGACAATTGCAGCTGTAACTGGAAATAAATTGAAATACAGTTAACTAACCTGAAGAAAAAGAAACACGTATTGTTGGAATCAAAACTGAGATCAAAATTAACCAAAACATGTACATTTAAAATAAGCCATGGAGCACTTTTTCCGCGTCTTCATAACCTCACCTAAACACGAGGGAACATAGGAGAATTCGAGACAATACTGGAGAGTTTAACTAACTACGAGGCCGACGGCGAGGACAATTTCGATTAAAAAACAAATTTACATTTTACCTGAAACTGAATATGGAACACAACGTAAAAATTCGAAATAGAGATTTTAAAAATTTTCCGTCGCGGTTTGCGTTCTCCAGACAACGAAGAATTTGGTCATCTCACGATGTTGTGTTGCTGAGAATGTCAAATATTTAATTAAGTTATTAAAATTTACATTGACGAACTTTATTTCAAGCCAATGTGGTTAATTTTAAAATGACCATTTTTCAGCTATACTCCCATAGGGCAGCTTCGAAGTGCATGGCCAATAAGACAATATTTGTTCTTGTCCCATAATACGTTTTCTATGGTTTTAGACTGAACTGCGTCGATAACTTACTCGCCCTCATATCGTAGAGCTCCGTTTTTCTGGTAGCTCGGCCATTCTTTCCCGAAACTTCTGGGGGTCAACTCCTTCGGGGATTATTCCATAAACTCTATAAGCAGCCTCTTCATATTCCCTCTTGTAACGCTTTTCTTCTTTGCTCTTTTGATGATAGAAGTCTAACATTTCCTGGGTTAGACGACAGCCAGCTGATGTACCGTTTTTCACTTCTGGGTTGTGTTGAGGGTCGACTTTGAGATTTTTGCTATCTAGCGCCAAGGCTGTCGAGCTAGACTTTCCTTGGCTGGTTATCCCTTGGTTATCCATTGCGCCAAACTGGACTACAGCCTTCAGGTAGCCAAGGATGACGATGTCTGATCGATCGTCAAACTATTTTATAGGTTCTCTGATTATATAACTCAAAAAGTTGCGTAACAAGTATGACGTCACGGCATCATCCAACGTCATTTTCCTCAACGGAAGCATATTTTCTTTGATTCACTCTCAAGAAAGACTTATTATGACATACTTACGACGTAGAGGTTACGCAACATCAATTAACATTCATAATTGCTCTTTCTCCAATTGCACTTTAGACAGGTTAATTAAAACTCGTTAATTTATTAGCGGCGTTCTTTTATTGATAAGTCCAACGCTATACAATATTGCCAAGGTAACTAATAGCAAATATAAACGTTTTGTAAAACCGACACCTCGCCCCTACAAACACCACCACGTTATTAAAATGACACCTCGCCCCAACAGACCGGAACACTCTCTAAAACCGACACCTCACCTCTACGGACCGGAACACTGTAAAACTGACAGCTCGCCACCTCGCCCCTATGAGCCCAAACATTTGATTGAAATGACACCTCGCCACTACGGACCCGACCACTTTATAAAACTTACAGCTCGCCACTGCGGACCCGAACACTTTATAAAACCGACAGCTCGCCACTACGGACCCGAACACTTTATAAAACCGACAGCTCGCTCCTACGGACCCGAACACTTTATAAAACCGACACCTCGCCACTGCGGATCCGAACACTTTATAAAACCGACAGCTCGCTCTACGAACCCGAACACTATATAAAACCGACAGCTCACCACTACGGACCCGAACAATTTATAAAACCGGCACCTCGGCACTACGAACCCGAACACTTTATAAAACCGACAGCTCGCCACTACAGACCCGAACACTTTATAAAACCGACAGCTCGCCAGTACAGACCCGAACACTTTATAAAACCGACAGCTCGCCAGTACAGACCCGAACACTTTATAAAACCGACAGCTCGCCACTACAGACCCGAACACTTTATAAAACCGACAGCTCACCCCTACGGACCCGAACACTTTATAAAACCGACAGCTCGCCACTACGGACCCGAACAATTTATAAAACCGGCAACTCGGCACTACGAACCCGAACACTTCATTAAGCCGTCACCTCACCTCTACGGACACGAAGTATGGGTTATTGACCAAGTGTGAGGTCAAGATGGCTGGATATTGGCCAAGTTCTTTTTTGCGTGT